GTAATCTCTTTTCTCATTCCATCTATCCATTGAGGAACTAATAAAGCCTCTACAACACTCTTAAGGAGAAGGACACTATTAATGGCTAAAAAAGCACGAAAAAGATGTTAAAATATTCTCATTGAACAAATAATATTGAGCCATGGGATAATTAGTAGTACACGATTTGATACCTTTCCTTTTTGCAATAAGAAGGTCCAAATCATAAGTGTCAGTAGCATAGCATCAGGTTGTTCCACGACCTTTGAATTCAGCTGGCCATGGCCCCTATTACGTCGAAGGATGATACATAATGGAGGATTAGGAAGAGGAGGCAAAAAAACTTGTTTTTCCTCAGCCTTACTCTCCCCCTAAGAAGAAACAAGAACAAAGGACTCACTCTTAAAGGAACATTCATGGAGGTGAAGTATTACTTGGACATTGAATCAAAACAATAATAGCCTTTTGAGACAAAGATTTAGAGAATAACATAGGAAGATGCAAATGATGGCTTTAAGGTCAAGCTTACAACGAGTAAGAATTAGGTCATGAGCAAAGCATTGATAACCCAAGACACACATGGGTATTGGGAACAACAAAGCTTTAACGAAGAGAAGTTGACGTGGGGTCTTGAGTTTTAGTAACCGAGATGGTAAGCGGTTAATATCATAAGCAACAACTAACAACATCAATCCAAAAGTGCTTTGGTACATTCATATGCAAAAACAATACCATAAGCTACTTTAAGAAGATAACGCTTTTTTTTTTCTTTTCACAACACCATTTTGCTAAGAGGTCCTTTCACATGAGCTCTATAACAAAGAGTTACAATAAGCAAAGAACTCGAGTCACCATGGAAGTACTCATTTATGTTGTTTGATTAGAAAATGTGGACCTTAGTGTGAAACTGTGTGAATATCATGCATTGAAAATCTCATACAATTTTTTGTACTTCTTCCCGTGAATACATAGGATAAAGTCGGGTATATTTAGAAAAGTTGCCAATGAAAGTAGTAAAGTATTTATAGTCAATCTCAAATAGAATAGTAACAACTCCTAATATCCGAGTGCACAATATGAAAAGGAAAATTAGAACTTTTATTTCTTAAACGAAATATGGTTCTACAATGCTTGTTTAATTGGCACACTTGACATTGACTCATTTACAAACATAAACTTGAAACAACTGTGGAAACAAATATTTCAAGAATTCATTGGACATATAACCTAGGTGATTATCCCACAAAACACTTTGATTCTTATTGGGCTGACTCAAAGACCCTGAGGCTGCAAGACCAGTTTTATTCTTTATCATGTAGGAGACCATCCACCATGTTTCCTCTAGTAATCGTTTTCTTGAAAATTAAATCCTAAAACAAACGAGTCAAGGAGAAAGGTTACTAAACAATTTAACAAATGGGTAATGCTACTAATGGATAATAGATTAATAGGTGACTTTGGAACATAAAGTACATTAGAAAGGGAAAAACCAAATGGAATAGATATTATTCCTTGATCGACTATGGTGGAGAAGAATCCATCAGCTAATCTACTTTATCTCTACTAAAAAGTAAATTATAAGACCGACACGAATTTTACTTATTGGTCATATGGCTCAAGGCACTAGAATTAATGATCTATAGAGATTTCGGGGCAAGTGAGGACTCATGAAAAGTAAAGGTTGTGTTGCCTGATGTACACGTAAATGAAGTCAAAGGAGTAGGTTTTGAATGTTTGAGAAGTGCCCTACCATACTACTCTAGGTGATAATGGAAGCAGTTGATGGTGTCTTCCTTGAGATTAGTATTAATGGGATGGTTCTAAGATGAACTAACACTTAAACCACTATATTAGGACTCCTGGGATGCCAAGTTTATTGAAGTATACCTCTTCTAAGTAGGTTTCCTATTTTTGCTATTGTCTTGATTTCTTCCCCAAATCTTGTGCCCATTTTGGTTTCCTAATTAAATCTCACTGATGTGTCTAGACTTCTAATAATGTGTGCACCACAGTTTATCATTATCATCCACTTTTGCTGCTAAGGAAACTAGCTCTCCCTTAAAAACATTCATTGCAAACCTCCTACTCTCCTCAAACTAGACTAAGGCATATGCCTCTTTGACTAAGGGAAGGTCTTTACAAAACTTGTGCACCACAATTTATTATTATAATCCACTCTCTTTTACCCATCACTTTTCTTTACAAAACTTGTTCCTTCCTTTGCTACTAAGGCAACTAGCTCCCCCTTAGAAGCATTCATATTGCCAACCTCCTACTCTCTTCGAACTCAACTAAGGCATACCCCTTTTGGACTAAGGGAAGGCCTTTGCTACCCAAAATCTATACTCTAATAGGTTCATAAATGGGTTCAAGCCTAACAAGAAAGCAAACACACATTGCTAAGAAACCAACTGCTTATAGACCTTGGCATCCTTGTTACTTTCCCACTCAATGCTCTGTTAGTGATCTAATTCCTTCCAAACAAAAGTTTGAGTAGAGTAATACACAAACGAACTTCTTTCTCCTTATTTGCATGTAGAAGATTCAACCTGCAACTAGTAAATCCTAACATAATGTCTTTGTTCAAAGTATGGTTACTTTGCTTGTTCCCATATTTTCCCAGTTGTGTTTTCCCACATAAAGTTGTTCGCAAAAGACAATATTGATGTTAGAAGCCATGCCATGATAAAATTGCTTTCCTGACCGCACTTACTATGTTTTGTTGTTTCTAATTTGGGTTATTTTACTTTCCCATTGATATATCTAGCCTTATCTCTAGTGGTGATATACAATCTCATCTCTTTGAACCATGCCAAGTAATTTAAACCATTCAGGGGAGTAATGGTCATGGGAAAATTCATGGTACCATGGCTCCTTCCAAATCCACCCTGATTATATGTGGTTCGATATATTACACAATCCTCAGTAGCCATAAGGAATAACTTCAGTAAGCCCCAACAGATCTAGTTGCTGCACTCCACACAAATGAGTCTAACCCCCCGTAACTACCAAGAACCAAAGTAGAAAAATCACCACACTACCTGCTTTTTTTTTACCAACACCACAAAATATTTCATTAATTAGAAAAAATATCATGAATACAACAAGAAGTTGCGGGGGAAACCAGCTTTAGAAAATTGACCCAAATCAAAATTACAATTGAGCCCAAAAACAGATGTGTTCTTTGTACCCATTGCTTAGCTAAGCTATTTGCCAAGTTGTTGGCATATCTCCTCACCCATCTCACATGAATTGGCATGTCCCTTGACAGCCATTTAAATCTCTTGAATTCATTCCTCAACTTCCATGTCGCCCCTTCCCCTTCTGCAATCAATTTATAACAGTTTCAGATCTCCCTCAATGATCAATCAGTCTATTAATACCCAACTCTTTAGCCTTCTCAATCCCATATACTACAACCAGAAACTTTGACATTGCCACAAGAAATTGTGCCCCCCCCCCCCCAACCCCCCCAATGCTTGAGGGGCTTGGATTACCCACACAACTCCCATCAAAGTTCAGCTTCTTCTAACCATCTATTGTGGGAGACCACGCCTCAAGAAATTGTCTTGTAGATGAAAAAGCGCAATAACACCCCAAACCTTGAAAAATTCTTTGACCTTAAAATTTGAAAACAATTTCAAACTTTTTGCCCAATGTGCCACTCTCAAAGTTATTGTTTCAACCAACACTTACTTTTTTCTTTTTCTTCAAATATTCTTGCATTTTTTTCCTCCCAAATAATCCAAAGTAGTGCTGCTCTAATACATCTCCACAGGATTCTACCCCTCCTTTTAGTGCAACTAATTCCATTAGGACTAAACAAACCATCCAATCTATCAGGAGAAGACCACCTACAACAAAATTAAAAGAGAAGCAAACAAATTCCAAATAAAACTAACAAAAGGACATGATATTAGAAGGTGGAATGCAGTCTCACCATTCAACTTACACAAACCACACTACCTGTTTTAGACCAATCGAGCTCGTTTCTTAGAGTTCTCAATCCAAAAGGGGTGATACGAAAGAACAAACTGATCACAGGCCTCTTGTATCACTTCTCGATACTCATCTACACCAGTCCAACAATGTTTCTTGATGTTATAGTCAGGAGCAGTTTATTTTGGTCATATGGCAAGGAGCATGTCTTCGATGAATCTAGATAAACATGCAAAGAAAAACTTGACAAAGATCAAGTCAGTCTCAAATAAGCGTTGGTTATGAGGAAGAAAGAGGAAGAAAAGTGCTTTTGCAGTGAGATTAGCAAAATCTTATGCTTCTTTGCATTTTGTAAAGTACTTTTTTTTGGCTTGAAAGCATGTTTTATAGGACTACCTATCAAAAAGTTTCTCCTCTCGCCTTCCGTTCTGAAAAAGCAAGCCAAAGAACATACCATGCTTCTAATCCTACATATAGATCTGAAACAAAAACACAAAATAAACAAAATAAGGCCAGAATTTTTTATCTCATTATAGAACAGGTTTGATAATCCCCTGTACTGGGTCTGATGCCATCAAGCCAAGGATCCACTTGGTAAAATATAGATAAAGATGCAAACTAACACAAAGAATGTCCACGACTTGTAAGGTCCATGTCAACCAGATTTACTCTCACCTGTTCATATTCTTGAGTTCCAGTTTAGTCTTAAGAATCTGTCTAGGTTATCCACAACGGTTCCTAGTACACAATAGGCCAAAGTCAGGATACCCTTATAATGCCGAGTACTTTCTGTAATTATCAAATTGATTGCCGTTTGTTTATTTTCTTCTATTTTTGAACCTGCTTTTCCATTGTTGGACTGATCTGACAGTTTCAACAACTTGTTCATTGTTTGAGTTCATGCATGGAGTCAACCAATTTACTTGTTTCAATCAGTTATTCCATCCAGAACAATAATGGGCAATTAATTGGGCAAATAACAACCATAAAACACAATACATCATTACAACAACACTGAAAAATACACATACGAAAAAATATCAAAAAAAAAAAAAAAAAACAGAAATGGCATCACCAAAACATGTCACTGAAAAAATACACAACATTCTAATATAAAAGGGATGTAATAACACAAAATCCATCTGTAGCACATTATACCCGAAAAGCGATATCATGTGTATCCCACAATAAATCACAAAACACAAATGTGAAATGCTACAATGCCATTAAGCAAGAAAAATCATATTTCTCCAGACATTACAGCTTCCAACCAACCCTTTCTGCGGTCTTCAGACATCTCAATAAAAGTCTCCCTCCACCCTTGTTCCTGGAACATCTTTGTTGCCTTCAGGTAGGTTCTCATGGGCAATCCTTCCATGTTTTCAAGAATCTTGATGCACTTTCCAATTGAGTACTTCTCAGCATGTTCAACGAGTGTATCTATCCTTCGGTTATATGCTTGGGCCATGAATTTAATGGCATCAGACATCTCAGTGTTTATTTTCTCCCTCTTTCCCCGACGAGAATGAGAATGCATATTTGACCTTTGATGGATGTCATCATCCAGATCACCTTCAACATCCTCGGACAGATTGGGAGTCAAATTTGCCTCAAATTGAGCAGAGGGTGGTGTATCAGAGTGAAGATCACCTTCACGTTGTTGTTCTAGGTCAGTATCTGCCAATATAAGATCTTGATTATTTTTGTCTGCAATATACTCTAATTTACTTGAATCACCATATATGATCCCTAACTTATCATACTCTGGACAGCCAGCTTTACGAAATCTCTTTGCATCAGGGTTATCCTACAAGTTAAATACAATATAGCATCAATTTCTATTTGTCTGAAAAGAGAAAGAAGGAAAAGAACAGACTAGGTGACAATATGAAATTCACCTTTATGTAGTTATCCCACACATCATCGGGAGCTGTAGGAGTCCTCAGAACTGGATCCCAATGGAAGCCAGGGGGTAAGGTTAGTAGCTTCTTAAAAACCCTATAACGTGTTCTCAACTGGTTGAACTTGTTTTTAAACTGCTTTAGGTCATATTTATTTCCTGTCCGGAAATAAAACTTCTGACGAATCTGCTTCCATGCTGGTTTTGAGAAAGTAGTTGTGTTCCTGTCTCCCCTTTTGACATGCTCCACCATTATGTCAATATACATGTTCTCTAGCTCAACTGTCCAATTTGCAGGGCTAGTCAAAGCATTATCAAAGGATGGAAGTCTGGTTCGACGAGTTGACATCTACACACATATATTAAGTCATTTAATGTGATGAATGCAAAATGAATTTAAGTGTAGAACATGTCATAGTTCACAAGTCAAATTGCTATGAAACCGTATTTGAAACAACCTGTCTCAGAATTATCCATGTTACCACGGCACCACAACAATTCAGTAGAAAGAATTAAGCTACATTTGGTAATGCTCCACTAGAATTTCTGGTGTCCCCAGGAGCAAAAAATTGTTGCCTTTTCTTTCTGGAATACTAGAAATGTTCCATTACAATGTTACCAAATGCCACCTTAGTAGCCACCTTCCTCCATTCCCTCTCTACCATAGAAAAGTAGGCAGAGCGTAGCTGCACCCAAACAGCAAATAACATGCTACAAGCCTAACAAAAAATTGAGGTTTAAATAGCTACTAATACAGACAGAATTACTCATTTATAAGCAGTACATAATGGGATGAAAGTCTAAGTAGTATCTATTAATAGAGGATCACGTTTTTGCTTAAAGTGCAGGCTATAATTGAGAAACAAATAGATACACAAAACAAAATCTGAGTCAGGTCAATAAGAGATTCAAAGAAAATAATTTGACAATAACAAACACATGTTGTGAAATAACCAGCATTAAAGTCCAAAGGTTGAATTTTGTCAATAATAAGGGAAAATCTATGACACCGGAAAGGCATGGTATCAGAAGAATTTTGACCAATCAAAACCCATCTGTTAATTTTGATAAATTCCACCTGATTGGTTAACACGTTTATGATACCGGTTGATTGGTCACAAAATTTTCAGATATCATGTCTTTCCGGAATCATAGTCGAACCCCAATAACAAACAAAGTTAGCCAAGCTAAGCACTTAAGCATCATCATCATGATAATTTAATAATTATAATAAACGATAACAATATTTAACAAATACAGGTAAGTAAGCAAAACCTACCAGAGAAACATATTAGTTGCAATAAAGAGATCGAAAAGAGGGTTCAATTTATAAAAGAAAGAAAGAAAGTTGAGTTCAGCCAAAGTATAAGTTTCTTTGTTCATGAATTGTCTAGGTCTTGGTTCTCCATTTCTCTGATTTCACACCATATTTCTCCCAATTGAATTGTATTGTCAGAATTTGTTAATAACCAAGAAGATGTTTTAGTCAGTTCAAAGTTGAGATAGACACTTCAGAATACTCTTAAAAAACAAGAAGCATTTGATCCTTAAGAATTATATTTTACAGTTTGCACACCAGCATTAGTGACATTGCTGATGGTGTATTTTGAGTCTCTACTTTATGTTATCATTTTTTTTTTTCATTCGAGAGCTAAAATCTATTAAACAAAAAAGTTTTAGATGGACTTCTTTGAAAATAATGAATGAATGACCACAGTGTTGAATACCCATTTCAATCATGCAGAATTAAGCTTTCCTATGAACCTTCTCCAATGATTCTATACTAGGTAGGTGGAGACATGATATGGTTATAGCCGTACTTCATTGATATCTTTGTGAACTCCCCACATCAAAGGTACTAGGTTCATTACCACCTACAGGTAGCTAAAATCCCATTTGATCGCAACAATATAACCCAGAAACTCAATGTATTGGACCATGATGGTCCAATGACCCATGCATCCTACTGACACCAATTACGGTTAAACAGGTCATTGACAGACCCACAGGTCAGATTAGCTGTGAACACGGACTGTGGAGGCATTGTTCTAGTTCTAGTTACAGTTCTAGTGAGCAAGGATGAGAAGATACATGAGGCACAGTTGCTTTCGAGTCTTAAAATGCAGTTTAGTGTTTAGAAATCAAACTCATAAGCATAACCTAAGACATCCGAATATTTTTCAAGTCAAAACTAACAAATGTAGCAACTGAAGCACAAACAAACATCAATGGAGCCCCATAACCAGAAGAGGGAGCGATTAACCGAAACGAAGATTAGGGACTTAGGGTTTCGTCCATGAGAGGAATAAATGATCATATCTGAAGATGCATGATCATAAGATTCATAACAATAAAAGTAGAAAAAAGGGCGACCAAATCAAAACCACCCTTGTATTGGGAGCACATTTAAAGACCTTGGACTTGTCATTGACGAACTGGAACTGGAAGCACAAACCATAACCGAACCAACCCACGCCCCCATGGCCATGGAAGCCCCATAACCTCGGTAAGGCACAAATCGTCCAGAAAAAGAAAATGTATAGGGTTTTGTCCATTGAAGTAATAAATCAACTAAAATAAATGGCATCCATGAGAGAGAAAGACAGGCAGGCAGAGAGAGAGAGAGAGAGATGGATACCTGGCCTGGGCCGCCTGGCCGCGTGGGTGCTGGCTGCTACCGTTTCTGCACCTGATTCCCACGCCAAGGACGGAAAGAAGTGCCGCAAAGCACCTTTTGATTGGAACCGTTAGATTGGAATCTTCTACGTTCTACCCATAGGCAACCTTCTCAATTTGCCGCGTAGACGGTGCGTGTACCAGAGCTCAGACTCTTCCTCAAGCAGTAACCAACCAACCATAGCGCCAGAGAAATCCTAAGAAGGAAAGCAGATAAAGCACTTTCCTCAACGTGGTGGTGGTGTGTAAGAAGGTGAGTGCCGTGAAATCCCTTGAAGAAAAGCAGATAAAAGCACTTCCTCAATCCTTATGAGTCCCGATTGTCGTACAAAACGTCGTTTGCTTTGTTGCAACCGATCAGAAGTCAGGATTTCACGTGTGCAGAACCATATACGTGCGAGATTATTTTTCTAGTTCAAAATAAATGAGTAAATTACAGAGGCCCCTCTAACATGGGGTCATTGTCAATGAAACCCCCCTGAACTCTTAGATCGGTCATCGGGACAAAGACCCCTAACCGTTAAGTCAGCTGATGAAAGACACTAAATTATTAAAATGCCCTATTTATAATTCAAGGCTTCAAGGGTATGAGAATGGGCAAATCCATTCTCCCTAATCTAAATCTATACTATTTAAAAAAGTGCGAATATGGTCTGATTTTATGGAATTTTTATTGAACATAAATTATACTTTAATCACTGAATCTCTTGGGAACAAATGTGTACTTTAACAAAAACATTTAATATTGTAATTTTCTGAAATTTTCATTGGACATAAGTTACCCCTTAGTCACTGAACTTCTTGGGGACATATGTATATTTAACAAAACATCATAATTAAGACATTTAATATTGTAATTTTCTAGAATTTTCATTGGACATAAATTACCACTTTATCACTGAATTTCTTGGGGACAAATATGTACTTTGACATAACACCATAATTAAGACATTTAATATTATAGTAGTCATTGTTGAACTATAAAAGTCATTTATGTGGATAGATGTTACCTCATCCACCCAATAAAAAAGAAACCTACCCTCACCTTCACGTATACAATTTGTAAATATAAATTTTCCTCCCATTTAAAGGGAACAAAATTTACAAACAAGAAAATTAATTATAAATATATTACATGAAATAATAATTAAAGGAACCAAATCTAAATCTCAAAGATTATATATTATTATAACATTTATTTTTTTTTTAGAAATTTCAATGAAACATGGCATCCCTTTTTCAATTTACTCTATTAATTGAAACAAAGGGGCTATTGAAAAGTAGTTCCAATCCAATGCAATTGGACTTCATGGCATCCCTTTTTAACTCTCATTCTATATTTTGATTTCTCATTAATAAATTATACTAATTAGTGAAAATGAAACCATCATTTAGTTCAAATGGCAAGTAATTAAATCATCCTATTAAATGGGTCAACACATGGTGTCATAGTTAAATAATAAAAAGATTAAAAACAAAAAAGTGAATAGCACATTTCTAATATTATATATTTATCATATTCAAAAATAAGTATGATAAATAAGAAGAATTAATTTACTAATGATCGGAATGAAATACAAAATTTAAAAATCACCCAAAAACAAACACAATTTTTCCTATTCAAGTGGTGGATATATGGTTTGACCTTTTGACCTTTTAGGTCAAATGGGTAAAATAAAACTTTTAAAAAGGATAAAAGCATAGAATAGAAAGTTAAACTAACTTGTAAAAAAAATATTTCTCAAAAAAATATGTATTTATCATGTAAAAAAAGTGTGTAAATAAAGTTATTTTTCTTAATGATGGAAATAGAATAGAAAGTTAAACCAAGTCATAAAGAAAACTATTTTCCACCTAAGTAGTGGAACGGTTCATAGGAGTCTACTTAGGCAAACCCAGCTCGAGTCTGGATTGACTTAAATGGTGGTTTAAGACAAGCTAGGCTTGGATTTCCGGTCCTTGGGTTGGGTGGGCCCAAAAGTTAGGCCTTTTCTATTTTTTGGGTTGGGTTTGAACCTAGGCCTTAGGTAGCTTGAGCAGTTGAGCCCAACTCAACTATATACAAATATAGACATATTTGCATATATACATATGTATATGCATACATAAACACATACATTTATGCCAAATTATAGTATAGGCTCATTTAGCAACATGAGCCCAGCCCCTAGCCCAAGCCCAACACAAGTGCATCAAATTTTAGTGTGATTAGGCATAGATTGGATAGATAGGGCTTAGGCTCAAGCCTTTAGACCCAATTCTTAAGGTTGGATATGGTTAAACTTAAATTAGGCCTAACTCGCTCAACTTGCTATGGATGCATATGAATTATTAACAACAAATTATCATATTTAATGAATTATTTAAATTATAATTATTGTTATTTTAATTGCTATAAATTACTGCAAAATTATTTTATAGTAATTAAAATAATAGTAACTATAATTTAATTATTATTGACAATTACTTAAATTGTTAAGTATACATATAATTAATAATTATGGTAATTATTATTGAAAAATATCATAATTTATGTAAATTTATGTTACTTAATTAGTTACCAAACTATTTGAAAAAAGTAATTTAATGAATTATTTAAGTAAAATATTAGTAATTAAAGTAACAATGGTTTGAGAGTAAAATACTATTAAATTAGTGAATTTACCATTATTTTGTTAAGTAAATTACTGAACTATTAAGTAAAGTATCAAGGTAATTAAAATAATTACCACATTTATTTACTTAATTAGGTAAAATAATTTCACGGTTACTAAAATAACAATATTTAAGCTCAACCAAGGCCCAACCCTTAGAATTGGACTTAAGGCCCAAGCTCAAGGTGAAGTCAAATTTGTCCAAGCCGAGCCTATCTCATCCTAAAATTTGATGCAGTTGGGTTGGGCTTGAACTTAAGCCACTAGGATTGGGTTTGTTGTGTGTGTGTGTGTGTGTCCATGCAAATAGTGTATCTATATGTGCATATGTATGTATATATGTATGTATATAGTTCGCTTGAGCTCGAGCTGGGATAAAGGGCTATGCCTATGCCAAACCATTAAATTAAGAATGCCCAAAAATTTAGTCTCACAATCAACCTAAGGACCAAAAATCCAAGCCCAACACGTGTAAATTTGTGGGTTGGGTCGATCCAAATTCAGACAGGGCTCGCTCAAGTTGCACCCCTAGATATTGGTCCTTTTTGAGTTTAGATTTGTACTACATATGGATCCATTAGTTTCATGCCAATTAATCCATATGTTATACAATAGTTGTAAGTGAATTTTTTAACAAGCTCGTGCTGTAAGTTACCTATTTAATTGGGTAACTTATTTATGTGGTTAAGCAATCCTAACTAACTTAATTAGGTAGCATAATTATTAATTGTCACTACTAATAAAACTTTAACCCATTTAAGTCGTAAAAATGAACTCAAATTTGTGAATAATAATAATAATAATAATAATAATAATAATTTATAGTAATTTGTATTAATTGAAAATCCAATTAAATTACTAATATTATATATAATTAAGTTATAATAGAATTAATTTTATAAATAAAATTAATAAAAAATAGTAACCATATAAAATTAATTTTGCTATGAGAAACTTATTAATTATTAAACTAAATTTTATTAATTCATATTCTATTTAAAATAATTACATTAATAAAAAATAAGTGTGATAAACGATGGTTATTTTTATTGATGTTGGATATAGAATATAAAATTTTAAACTGACCCCAAAAATGAAATAGTTTCTTGGGTGGTAGGTCAATAGTTTAACCTTTCAGGTCATATGTGTCAACCCTTGATTTATGATCTTATAATTAAATAAAAACTAAAAAATATAAAGAATATGAAAAATATAGAAACTTTGTAGAAAACATTTGGATACATCTCTACTATTTTATATTAATCATATTAAAAATTAAACATGATAAACAAAATTATTTTTAATAATGGAAACAAAATACAAAATTTAAAGCTAACCCACAAGTGAAATTGTTTTCCTATTTGGTGCAGATCAACAAGTCACTCTTTTAGGTCAAATGTGTCATAATTAAATAATAAAAATTAAAATAAGATAAAAACACAAAAATATATAAATTGTGTGAAAAACATTTGGGCATATTTTTTTATATTAATTAACCATGTTAAAGAAAAATAAGTGTGACAAAGAATAATTGATTTTATTGTTGATGGAAATAATTAAAATACAAATTTAAAACCAACCGAAAAGGGACCTATTTTACTATTTGGTGGTGAGTCAAGAATTTTAACTTTAACCCTTAACGTCATAATTAAATAATAAAAATTAAAAAATATAAAAACACACAAAAGTATAAAAAATACAAAATGATTTGTAGAAAACATTTGGACACATCTCTAATATCAGTATTTATCATATAAACCAAAAATAAGTATAACAAATAAGTAATTTTTATATACATAGAAATATAAAAAAAATGTATAAAATTTTAGAAACATATTATTTACTATCATCATCATAAAAAATTGCCATATGTAAAGCACGTGCACCCTTTCTAATCTATACAAACATACCATCGGAGAACCATTTGACATGAATTTGTACATCGTTGTTCACTGGAAGTTGTAAAAAACATTTGCATCTTTTATGCCATCATCTGAGAATAAGGTATTCTTAGCGCTGTCGCTGGAGAAGAACCTATGTACACATATGCCACACCAGCTATTTTAACCATGTGAAA